AGTCTGCGGAACAAATTCCAGTGAGAATTCTTTAATGGTTCTCACAGATTCAGTTCGCTTGTTTCGGTTCGACAAAATCAACCGTCGTTTACGTCTTTAATGTACCATTAGCCGATCATCGCCAGTAAATTGTACAGTATATCTTTCTTTAAATCTGGAATATTACTGCAACAGCCGATGGCACCTCTGGAAGGCGTTTCTGCGCACTTTTCGAATGTGTATTGCAAAATCCTGAAGGAAATGAGAGGACGTGAGATATCGAACCTTCCTGGGTAGACGTCACAAGAGCCGCTGGACCCATTCTCCTCAAACGGTGTTTTGGAGCTATTTTCGAGATTTCGTCGGGGCACAGAAAATCGAGGATTTCACGGAATCCAAAAATTTTTTCGCAGGACTATTTCAAATAACAAGTACATTCGTTTTAGCGAAAAAAAAAATTGGGGGGTTAGGTACACTTTAAGTTGAACGGTAAGTGTTAGCAAGAAAACTTTTGTCACACAAAAACAAACAGGGAAAGTGTATAAATTAAAGAAGGAAAAATGCTCACCGGGACATTCACAGGATACTAAGATCATAACTCCAAATAAAATACAAAAAGTAAGGAAGCTTGCCATCATTTTGCGTCTAAACATCTCAGCGGAAGCTATGCTTTGAGATTCTCGTCTGTTCGTGCAGTTTTACCGGTCAAAATAGCTGATATCACCTGTTAAAAGATGTAAAGTATATATTGATATTAATACCGTCACGTCCTCAAAACACGAAAGCGTATAGGCAGGTGTTTTCCTGGTTTCTTTTGTTTCAAAACCGTAAGCATATGGTTGAATTCCTAGTATTATCAAGTTAAATTATTCAAAGTGTATGTTCTGATAGTGTTCAGCTAAGTTCTTTCAGTAAAATGAACTCTCAGTAAATGCTCTTTTTGAAAGATGAAAAATTTCATATTAACGGTATTGTCTAATAGCCATTTATAGTAAACCACTGTTATTTGATCCAGTTATAAAATATGCATGTATAACAAGTTAGGCACGTTTGATGTCCAGTTAATCATTAATCAATCGCTCTAAATTAAACTGCTGGAGGTTTGATGGACTTTGTTTTCCCAGTAAGTAATCTGTACCATTGATCCACCAATCTTTATTGAAAATTACCTTGAGTTTTTAAGTAATCAATTCGGATGGATCACAAAACTCGTAAAACCCTAACGGTTCACTGTCAAAACAATTAATTAGTTTCTGAAAACATGGTGACATGAGATAAACAAAAAAGCGTAACTAAGGCCCGGTCCACACGTATCCGGATATTTTTGAATCCGCAACCGGATATTTTTTGCTGCGTGTGGACAGGGAAACTTTTGAATCCGGAAAGAAAAAGTTGCGGATTCAAAATTATCCAGATACGTGTGGACGGGGCCTAAAGGACGACTTTTGCATGATTTTGTACCTTAAGCTTGCATAGCTCTTGTTTTCTAAGGTGGTTTCAATAGCTTCCGTGTTAGATAACCGGTAAGCGAGAGAACCAAAGTGCTTTGTGTAACCGTGTTGATTTTAATCCCTGCTAGTCCTGGGTTTAGACTCTGCATTCTACAACTCTTCAACTGCCTTGGTCAGTATTTCTGAAAACCCGTGTCATTTCAGTGACACCATGTAATTATCGAACTTCCTCCTGTTCCTTGAACAATTTCGCTTGAAATTTAATCAACGGGCAACAAAATGAATGGTGATGAAAATACTACTGACATCAGAGAAAACGTGCTTTTGTGTTCTTTTGTGTGTTGTTGACAAATGGATACATACTCTTGGTTGTGGAAGGGAAGATTTTTGAATGCAATTTTGTCTTCCTTAATTCTTGTTTGTAACTGACAATGTATCCAAAAAATTTAATCCACGAGAATTTCTACGAAGTCTTAGCTCCCGTATATGCAAAACCATGCTCAAATAAAGTTGTTTAAGTTAAACGGTAAATGCTTGCAAGAAGACTTTTCACTCCGAAAGACAAACAGGGAAAGGCAATTAAAGAAAGCGGAAAATGCTTACCGGGACATTCACAGCATACCAAGATCATAACTCCAAATAAAATACAAAAAATAAGGAAGCTATCCATCATTTTTCGTCTAAACGTCTTGCTTTGAGATTCTGGTCTGTTCGTGCAATTTTACCAGTCAAAATAGCTGATAACGCATGTTAAAACATGTAAAGTATATGTTCATATTTATACCGTCACTTCCTCAAAACACGACAGCATATAAAGCAGGTGGTTGTTTCTTATCTTTCAAAACCGATTCTGAATCGCATGTGATTGAGTTCCTAGCATTATTAAATTAACCAAAGTGCTTTGATAGTGCTCAGCTAAGTTGTTACAATAAAATGATTTCGCAGCAAGAGCTTTTCTTGAATGTTGGAAAATTATGAATTAACTGTATTGTTTAGTGACCATTTATAATAAATAGTATTGAAAAAACTGCGTAGCGTCTTTTTAACTACAAGTGAATGTTAAAAACATTGTTAAAAAGACGCTTAATGGCGGTATAAATCAACTGACGTTTCGGCATTGCTGCCTTCTTCAGGGTGTTTAAGCTGCCACGTAAAATAACGAGATCGTTATTTGCAGTTGTGTGCTGCTTTGGAACTGTTTGCGCGTGCGAAAAAATGCGCGCGCGTGTCTCGAGATTTCATATAAATGAGAAATCGCGATTTATTCCCGAGGAGCGAGTGTTTGGAATTTGAAAATTTGTCTCATCTCCTCGCGTTGGCGGACATCCTTCTTTGCTGGGCCACGGCGACACGGACGTCTTCTAGTGAATGGCCTGGGCTATTGAAGTGTTGCGCTACGGGTAAGTCACTTTTCTTGTGTAGAACGTCGTGGCGTTGTTCCCTGAAACGGTCAGCCAATCTGCGTCCTGTCTCCCCAATGTAGACTGTCCTAGGATATTTACGGCAAGAAATACAATAAATGACGTTATCTGAAGTGCACGTGAAATGCGTCAGGTCGCTTTCGGATAATAATTATTCACGCTTAAATTTGAATATTACTGACAGTCTGTATTTTTGCCGACGGCTTAATTTAGCTTGGCAGTCATTTTATTGGCGGTAGCTTAGCCAGTCTTCAACCAAATTAACCAGGGAATTCACCCAAGCATTTCGCCAAACCGAATAAATTGAACTAACAATGAAAACGAGGAAATCTCCATACTTTGTAATCACAATATGCAAATATTCACATGGACCTGCACACAAGTAAAAATGAAATGTAAAAAGAAAATGATACATTTCATGTTTATTACCCTCCTGCCATCGTATATTGCTCCCATGTATTCCCATGTAAGAACAAGATGGCGAGCAATGGTTTCCGTGGATCTATGCTCCACTGAGAGCGAAAGGGTTTAATGATGATTCCCATGTAACCAATGTATTCGTATGTGAACTGTAGGTTACCGTATGTGTCTGTATGTATCCGAATGTCACTGGTATGTACTCTTATGTTACTCGTATGTATTCGTATGTCACTCGTATGTACTCGTATGTATCCGTATGTAACTCGTGTGTACTAGTGTGGTGTTTTAGTCACAATCACATTCGAGTAAAAATGCATTTTAACGAAACTAATTCCCTCAGGGTGGCAACATCTTTAGGTACCAAGTTGAACTCAACACTGTAGAACAGCAGAGGTTAAAATATCTCGGTATGTTATTTCTACTACCAAAACAAGAGGTGCTTTAGCACGTAAGTTATGTTCAGACTGTTTAAAAACAAGGCTACGAGCCTTCTAATGAAAGAAGGACTATTAGCAGTCTCGAGAAAATCTGACTACGTCGCAAATAAAAGCAATGAAGACCACAGCATGGAGCCGGATGAACAATCAGAGAAAGAACTCTTACATTCAGAGCACGAACACAACGCTTTGCCTGAACAGAACCATACAATATCATATAACACGCAAAACAGTCGACAGACAAAAAGCTCGATGAAGTTGATGCAAGAAACATAAGAACGTCCCTATAGCACAAACTTATAGATAATTATTATACCTGTTATAAGAAGCAGCATAACTTGCAACAGTTTATCAGACAGCCGGGCCTGGTGTAACGACAAAAAATGCAAGTAACCAACATTTTTTCAACCTTTGTCACTCCACAACTAATATTTAACGAGCTTAATGATTAAATCATATCTAGCAATATAAATGAGCCGAAAAAACTAGCACACATTAAAATACAGAAGCATCAATAAACGACACGCAGATAACAGCAGAAACCACAGACCTATGAGCCTAACGGCGCTACTCTGGTGAAATGTTCGCCTAAAACCGAAGCATAAAAGTGCCCTTCAGAAACAAGTGTTAAGTAAAAAAGGTCGCGAGACTGATATAAAGAAAAGTATGGCAAACATACAAATGTCAAGAAGCGTAGAAGACCGGCCATGTACGGCCTGTTACCCTCGTTTAACACTGGCACTTAATCCAAAATTAATTATTGCTTAGCCAAATATTCAAAGATCCCTCTATCGTGCCATGAAAAAGGGGCAGATCCCCCACTTGTTCGAGCAAAACTTTAAAAGAGGCTATTACATTTTACCAGGCAGGCTCCGTCCTATCACGTGCGAGTACGAACTTAATTCATGTGAGTCCAAGGTGTACATTAGCTACACTAAAACAAAGGATAAAGATACGAAATGCGGGCAACATATTCAACGCAAACCTTCAAAAATTGGAGATATGTCATAAAATAACAACGCATAACTTTCTTGCGCTTTATCCGGAAATTTAAACCATACATTGACGGAGGGCTTATTACAGAGGGAGGCTTAATAGAAAGGATATTTCAAATCTTAAACACGCCGTTTTCGTCTTAAAATAGTTTTTGTATAAGACTCAAACAACCGCAGCCCAACTTTATTATTTAATAAAGAGCAGCAAACAGTAATAATAATAATAATTATGTGTTTGAATGTATATTTGTTTAAAAAAACCAAACCAAATGGGCTGCATGAAAAAAAAGGGGGAAGGGGCTTATTAGAGGAGGGAGAGTTATTTACAAAAACTGACTTCTAAACGGGAGGCTAATTAGAGAGGGGGATTAATCCAGCGGGGGATTTAATAGAGCCTTTACGGTATTGCACTTTCTCAGGAGAGAAAAGTTAACTACATAAGTCGTTCAAATTACACTTTCTTTTTCTCTTTACCGCGGTGGGTTGTTCCACGGTCTAGACAGAGTTCAATAAAACAGGTCGTCCCTACAACTAAGTTAAAGTAATCTGAACCAGAACATTCTGTCATCATTTACAATAATTCCTTATAAGATGTATATAGGAAACGTAAGATTAAGACTATCTTGATCAACAAGTTAGTGGTATGGCCAGTGCTTTTTTAGAGAATTGTTTCACACATTTATGTCGAAGCGTGCGCAGATCCTAACAAATTTGATTACTATATTTCAATTATTCATCTTGTTCATAATTTACCAGACTGAGATTTAAGCAAGCAACTAATACATATTTCCTTTATTAACTATCTACTTGTCTGAACGGGGATGTGTAGGTCTTAGATCATTGATCCTTGTATGACAAAGCAACATTTTAAATAGCACGTGAGTCAGTTCGAAAATTAAGGAGAACATTACCATTTTTAATATCTCTATTAATTACTTTCAATTTATTTTTCCTAATTATACCAATACTTTCTTTAAACAAAGATTTCTGTAATCATCAAGTGACAAAATGAGTCCCGCAGTAGAATTTTTTGAGTCACCTGTCCATATACCCCTATACGCAAAGCGCATCAAGTTTCTTAATTCATCATTTTTGGGCAGTGATTCCTTTTTTATGCAACCCACAAATCTGAAAATGAAATCACCCGTTGCTATTGCACTGTTTTTCAATTTGATAGTATCAATCGTTCCTTCCTCTCCAAAAAATTTGCTGAAATAATCATTTGTAATATCTAGCAAATAGGGAACTGACTTAAGTGACTTTTGCCGTTTTCTGACATATGTTACTTCAAATCTTCATAAAAAAAAAAAAACGGAGGTGATTCTGTTGTCAAATTTGCTTTATTTTATTGCCAAATGATTGCTTTACCTGTTGTATGATTTTGAGCTAAATTAATAAAAGTTAAGTTGCAAATTTCATTGTTCCAATTTACAAAACGAAAATAGGGCTTATTTTGAATTCTGAAACCTTTCATCGACATGAAAAGTCAAACACATACACGGCAGATTTTCCAAGCTCCCGATATCTCAGATTTAAAAGGTTATGGTAACCGAGAGAACTGAGTGGCGTATAAATGGTAAGTCAATACCTTCCGTTTGACCGACAAATTAGATATCAGGCTTTTAAATTGGCCGATACCACGACATAGGGCACTTTTGTGCCCTCTCAAGCACAAATAATGATCTTTTTCAGTCAGGATTAGATGATGTTGGCAAATCTCTCGCATACAGAAAGGTTACATCATGACGCTTTGTTTAATGGCTTGTCAAAAGTTACCATACAGAAAAGGTTGATCTACCATCCAAAGAGGGAAAAGTCAGAAAAGAGCACTAAGATTCTTCTAGAGAGAGGGGGGAGCAACAGGCAAGAGTGGTGCTAGCGAGCCAAATGATTTGCTATTCGAAGTGTCTTAATAAGGCCGCTGGAATCTCAGTTAAGGTAATTCCTCACATTTGCATTGCGCATCCTTACCGCGCATAATTTATGGGCTTACAGCGTGAGGCAAACCTAAAATAAAGTCGCATCGAAATTGAAGGTTTGAACGTCCGATTAGGCGTCCGAGAAAACAGTCGTTTTAGTGACAACTACGTGGTTTTTATAATGCCTGAGCATCCAACGCTGTTTAAAACAGTGTTGTTTATTTGATACGAATGCGGTATTGCATTCAAGAAGAAAATAATTCAAGTCAGTTTGAGCAGAATTTAGCGAAACGTAAGGAATCTATAGCAATGTCATCACTCAGATATACTGACCTCAATCACAGTGCTCAGATCTGCCCCGCAATAAGGACTAGACCAGTAACTTGAAATTACAAAGAAATGGACAAAATTAACTTTAAATCGAAATTAATCGACTGGACTGACTCTTGACTAGAACTTAAATCAGAAACTATTTCACTTACTTAGGTGCGGCCAAAGGAACGACATGTACTACTAAATCCCGAAACAACGAACAAACCACTAAAACGAAACAGCCGAAACGAACGAAACGAAACGAAACGAAACCAACAAAACATTAAGAGAAACCATCTTCAGTATTGAGAGTGAACATGTTAACTGAGTGTCATTCTAGTTAGCAGGAGTGTTATTGAGACTAACTGGAGTGCAGGACCGCAGACCTACAGTTTCCTTGCATAACAACGCTAAGCAATCTCGATAACAGTGATGGGCCGAGTTCTCTTGCTTTGTTGATTCCGTTTCACTTCCGTGATGACGGCAGTTTCTTTTGTTTTTTGTTTTTTTCTAGCAGGCCTACTCTGTGACCTTTAAGTCGCCCTAAGTCGCTTAAAGTCGCCTTGAATTGCTATTGTTTACGTTATGTTACAAAGGTTAACACACACTCACATTGTCCCTGTTAAAGGTTATTGGACTTAAACTTCACTCAAATCCTTAAAGAGAAAGAGGAAGGGCGGCCCAACGGTTGGTGCAATGAATGAACTCCGTATTGGGATCACTGAATTTAGTTCGTACTCCCGCAGTGCCTCTCCTCACCGAGGTGTATAAATGGGTACTGGTTACCGAGGGGTTGGGGTGAGGCGGTTGGAGTTTGGGCAGAGATAACTTGATATTTATTTACACTTGTTCCCAATGCATTGCAATCATTTAAAACTCCTCTTTAAGGGCCCTAGTCAGCCACACCTTTGTTTTTGTTTACATGCAAGAGTTTGTTTTTGAAGGAAATCACCGTGAAACTGCTTAAGATAATTGGACGTACTTTTGGGAATATAACTTACAGTGAAGCAATAACATTTCGCTTCACCATGCAATATCAATAATTTTGATGGCTTCGAAAATGGTGGAGGCTGACTAGGGTCCTTTAAGAAGCTGATTATGCAGCAATTACTGTATGTCTCATAGCCGTGGCTTTCATATACGTGAAAAACCCCATATAATCCTGCACCTTTCTAGCCCCCTAGCACCCATGTTAGAAGGATTAATTTCTACATGTGGACCATATTTTAATAGGAATGACAATCTGATGCATACCCTCTCACAGACAGCAATTTATTTCTGCTAAGTTTTGATTTGTTTTTTGTCTTTCATTGTAAAAGAGTTAATAAAAACGATGACACTCTGTGTTTTAGGCGCCTTTCTCGGTCCTAACTATCAGAACTGTGTATGATTCGCTCACGCGGAAGAAATTTATTTGCGTGGCCTCCAGTCGATAATTGACGTAACGACAACAAGTTGAGTGCCTAGTTTGTTTTAAGTTCAATCGATTCTCGATGAAGGAAGCTCTTGTTCAGTCCATTTAGGACGATGCAGGCCTTTAGAAAGCTATAGATGAGTTCTCCGCCGCGGTCTTGATCTCTGTACGTTTGTGTTGATCTAGACTCCAATTTCATGTTAAAAGCACTCTTCAAGTAATTAAATTGTACAATTCATGATTTAACGAAAAGACGGTGAATTTAGTCTTCCCTGGCCTCAAAAGGCATACAGGAGAGTTATTTCCTTTTATTTCAGCTACTATAGGCCTTGTGGAAAGCTAGCTCTAGGACAGAATTGTATCAAGATTATCACTGACAAGTCAAATTCTGTGGCTATGTTTTTGCGAATCCAGAGAGATGGACGTCCGACGATCTATGAATATTTTTGAACGCATTGAACTTGTAATCTAGCTTAACACGGCATCAGAAACTTATGGATTAAAAAAGAGTTAATATTTCAACTGATGAATAAATTTACGCAAGTTACATGCGCAAAGAACGCAAAAAAAAAAAAAAANTCGGGCAACTGATGAATAAATTTACGCAAGTTACGTGCGCAAAGAACGCAAAAAAAGGGAATTCAACGGCTTCCGCCAGTCTGGCGATAAATTTAAATCACGTTCGAAGTTTTCGGCCTTTGTAGGCCGTCGATGAATTTTCTCGATTTTACTTTTGGCACGTAAAGCCAATACAATTCGTGCCTCAGTTAGAATCAGTGTATAAAGTAAAATAAAATTAAGATGGCTCGATAGGGTTTTTTGGCCGCGCGAAGAATGGGTACGAAAAATGGCGCGAGTTTCAAATGGCAACAAATATCAAAACAAACATGGCGGCTTCACGCGAGCGCAAAATTTTTGCCACATAAACGCGAAGCTTACTTGATGAGAGTGAAATGGGATCGGTAATTTCCAGTAACGAGCACAATAATGACAGTCAAAGACCAGAAGTTTACAAAACGCCTTCACAACGCCTACACAACATCCGTAATGCGTCAGGTCGCTTTCGGAAAGTGGAAGCGATCGAGACCAGAAAAGAAACAAAAATAAACATGTTACATGAAGGGTTCAAAAAGTGGAATCCCAAAAGGAAACTCCAGTATGATATCATATCCAAGGAAAACGAGCCCCCAGCAAAACGAATGACAAGAACACTTGAGGTCTGTTCATTTTTCTTTACCCGGGAGAATTTTTGGTAAAATTTTCTTGCCCAGCTTGTCCTATTCTATTTCTGTTCTATTGACTCCAACCCTGATTCCTACCAGCAGAATACAGCTAAGAGGAAGGCGAACCGGCCACAAGGATCCAGAATGGTGGACATAGAGACCCTTACTATGGTTTGAAGGAATGCTCGTTTTGTCATCGAAGTAAATACTCACTATTTTTCTCTGCATCATAGCATATTTTGAGCATCCCAAAAATGTTTTTAATTCTGGCGAGTTTGTTTCGAATTGTCATTTTTATAAATGTTGACTTATTTTCTGCTACAATTATAATCCTACAATATATTCATCCATGCCTTCAAATGATTCGTTTATATCCAAAAACGTACAGTAAATGTATCATTTCTTCTACCTTGAAGAGGTACCTATTTCAAGAGTTTGCAGAAAATAACAAATCCTGCACTGGCTTATAATATTGGTTGCTAAAGTTGCAAGCTTTACGGCCAGGACCACTTCATTCACTAGCCTAAAACTTGGTTGCATCGGCCCACTATTTCATGAATAATTTCTTGGTTCATGAATGGTTCATGTCACCTATCATTCATGGTCAGAAGGAAACAATATTCACTCTCTCCTCAAACCAAGGTTAGGTGAAATTTGAACTGGACNACGGTCAGCCAATCTGCGTCCTGTCTCCCCAATGTAGACTGTCCTAGGATATTTACGGCAAGAAATACAATAAATGACGTTATCTGAAGTGCACGTGAAATGCGTCAGGTCGCTTTCGGAAAGTGGAAGCGATCGAGACCAGAAAAGAAAAAAAATAAACATGTTACACGAAGGGTTCAAAAAGTGGAATGCCAAAAGGAAACTCCAGTATGATATCATATCCAAGGAAAACGAGCTCCCAGCAAAACGAATGACAAGAGTACTTGAGGTCAGTACATTTTTCTTTACCCGGGAGTCTTGAATTTTTGGTAAGATTTTCTTGCCCAGCTTGTCCTATTCATCGGCCTACCTGTTCTATTGGGTCCAACCCTGAATACAGCTAAGAGGGAAGCGAACCGGCCACAAGGATCCAGACTGGTGGACATAGAGACCCTTACAGACGGTCTGAAGGAATGCTCGTTTTGTCATCGCGGTAAATACTCGATCACTATTTCTCGCTGCACTATAGCATATTTTGAGGATCTCAAAAATGTTTTTAATTCTGGCGGGTTTGTTTCGTATTGTCATTTTTCTAAATATTGACTTGTTTGCTGCTACAAGTATAATCCTACAATATATTCATCAATGCGTTCAAATGATTTGTTTATTTCCAGAAACGTACAGTAAATGTATCATTTCTTCTACCTTGAAGAGATACCTATCTCAAGAATTTACAGAAAATAACAAATCCTGCACTGGCTTATAATATTGGTTTCTAAAGTTGCAAGCTTTACGGTCAGGACCACTTCATTCACCAGCCTAAAACTTGGTTGTATCGGCCCACTATATCATGAATAATTTTTCGGTTCATGAGAAATTGAAAGTGAGATTATGCTCAATGTCACCTACCATTCATGGTCAGAAGGAAACAATATTCACTCTCTCCTCAAACCAAGGTTACATGAAATTTGAACTGGACTTAGAATAACATGGCCATCCCACCAACAGGCCTTATTCACAATAGCTGCCACATTGGTCCCATATTACAACCAAAATTAGCCATGTGGTCTTCCAGGGAGCAAACAATGCAAATTATTATATTGGGAAATCAGCTTATCCTCATACTGCCGTATTTTTCTCAAAAGTACACTGGAGTGTCAGATAATAGACAACTATAATGGAATTGTTACAAGTTAGGAAAGATTACTCTGTATGCCATTGACGTGTTAGTGGCACAAGAAGTTATCTTTTAAAACAGCTAAACATCTCTTTTTTTTTTTTTCAAGTGCACCATGTAGTGCAACGGCATAGGCAAAGAGCAAATGTGAAGAAAATTCATCACAATACAAAAAAACCTGGCTAAAATTTCTGGATTTGAAGTTGTTGGCTCCTTCAGAAATCACATGGTCAGTTAATTTTGCGCAAGTCCAAATTTTGGCTTATGCGCATGCCCGGAATTGAAATTTTGCTCAATTTTGCACCTAATCCTCGAAAAATATCCCCTTTTAGTAAAAAAAAAAGCTTTCTTAGCAAAACTTAGGCTTATTTAGCGTCATGGCAGCTAAAAAACCTGACTAGACGGTTAAAGACGGTATTTTTTGGCGAAAGCTTGGTATTCAAAGGGTTAAAACATCAAAAGAGCACAGATCCGGTGCACGTGGTCCATTGGCCTTTGATGTGAACACGAGAGCTGCCCTTACTTGTTTACATACAGATGTGGGCAACACCCATTTAAACAATTTACTTTCAACCTTCAATATACCCGCAATGAACTCATCAACTTTTAAAAATCGGGAAAGGGAAGCTAGAAAGGCAATAGAACTAGTAACCAAAAATAATTGCCAACAGTTTCTAAACCGTGAACGAGAGAAGGCAATCGAAAATGGTAACAAGCCGGAGGAGAACAATTTGGTACTCATTGCCTGTTCTTACGACATGGGGTGGCAGAAACGGGAGCGAGGCTTCAACTCCAATACCGGACATGCAGCAGTCATGGGCCTTTCAACTGGAAAGGTCGTTGACTACACAACGAAAAATAAAATGTGCCGCTCCTGTGATGAAGCTAAAAAGGCTGGAAAACAACCTAAAGACCACGACTGTAGAAAAAATCATTCGCGCTCTTCAAAGTTAATGGAACCTTTAACTGCAGTTGAACTTTTCATTATAAGGTAACTGAATCAAATGTCAAATTTTCAATTTATACTGGGGATGATGATTCAACAACTGAATCTCACCTAAAGCAAAAGGTACCCTACGGTGTGGAAAAATGGA